GGGATTGAACCCATGTCCCCTGCATTGACTGGCAGATTCCCAGCCACTGGACCACCATGGAAGTCCCTGTATGTATTTTTTAAAAAATAAAATAACTCATGAGATCACACTAACACTTATAATTCAAATTCACAATTATAGAATTTTTAAAACTTCTTTATATTACACCTATAACTCATTTCTTCTACTCTGGGAACCTACTTTTTGAAGCCATAGGAAATAAGAGAATTGTAATATATCATAATGAATCATTCATTTGCTCTATAAAAAGAATTTCAGGAGGGGAACTCAATTCTACCATCAACTTGAGAAATTCTACCATCAGTTACTGAGAAATGTTTTAAAAATTACTTTGCATGTACTCTCATTTCCCTCTGCTGTGTCTCAACAGCTGTGAGGGCTCAGAGCTTGTTTTCTAGTAAATTCTACTGGAAAGGTTAATGGAAACCATATTTCCTGAATTTCTGTGTGTTGAAAATGATTTATATCCTTTATAGTCTAAAGCCAGTATTGCTAGATGCAAGATCCTTGGCTCATGTTTTCTGTCCTTGGATATCTTAACTGTTCGATTCCGTTTTGTTTTGGTAAAGTCTGATGAACTAATCCTTAGAAATCCTTTGCTAATATTGTCTAGATGCCCAAATAATTTAATTATTTTTCCCACAGTGCCTGTGCCTTATTTATTTATTGGAAGGTGGTTGCTTTACAGTGTTGTGTTAGCTTCTGCTGTGCAGCAGAGTGGGTCATTATACATGTATCCACTCTTTAGACTTCCTCCTCTTTTAAGACACCTCAGGGCATTGAGTGGAGTTCCAATTCTTTTTAAATCCACTAATTTACTACTGTATGTGTTGGGTTTTTTGGGCCCGTATTCTCAAGTTGGGCTTCCCTGGTGGCTCAGAGGTTAAAGCGTCTGCCTTCAATGTGGGAGACCCAGGTTCGATCCCTGGGTCAGGAAGATCCCATGGAGAAGGAAATGGTAACCCACTCCAGTATTCTTGCCTGGAGAATCCCATGAACGGCGGAGCCTGGTTGGCTGCAGTCCACGGGGTTGCAAAGAGTCGGACACGACTGAGCGACTCACTTCACTTCCTCACTTCATTCTCAAGTTACATGCTGGGCTCTTTCAATATATAGTTTTAGATTTCTTAAAATATTTCCTGAATGACAGTTTTAAATATCTCCTTTGTTTCTACCTTTTGTTTTCTCTCTTGGGACTGTTATTATCTGCATTTTGAATCTTCTTTGCCTTTGTCTTCAATACTTACCACTTTCTAATTTTTTTAGCTCTTCATTTCTTTTTAACTTTAAAATTTTTCCTCGTTTACTTATTTTTTTAAAAGATATCAACTGTTGTGTTTATTTGCTCCTATGTTCTTTTAGTTTAGTCTTTATTTCTTAAATAACTTCCTTTTATTTCTAATTCTCCCCTTAGTTCTATTACTTGATATTTGAGTTTTTCTAATACTGATTTGTGTTATTCTTTCATATCATATTTTCTCAGCTTTTCTTTTCTTCCTGAAGGCTGTCATAGTATTTTCTTAATAGTCTTTTAGGTTATTTTGAAATAGGTTACAATTTTGACCTTTGAGTTTGTTTTTCTAGGGTGCTTTCATTGTCTGTAGGAATGTTATTTTACCCTTTATTTTCTCTTTCATTTTGGTAAATAATGCATAACATAAAATTTACCATTTTAACTGTTTCTAAGTGTACATTTAGTATTGTTAAGTATATTTACATTGTTGTGTAACTAACTTCCAGAATTTTTTCAGCCTGCAAAACTGAACTGCTCTGCCAGTTAAAGAGGAATTCCCCATTTCCCCTTCTCCTCAGATCCTGGCAACCATCACTCTGCTTTTTCTTTCTATGAATTTGACTGCTCTAGATACCTCACATATGTGGAATCTTATCATAGTAACATCTTCTTGTTACTGACTTCTTTCACTTAGCATGTGTTCTTAAGATTCCTCCTCTTCATAGCTTATATCAGAATTCCCTTCCCTTTTCAGGCTGAGTAATATTCTATTGTATGTATATACCACATTTTATTTATCAATCTATCAGTGGACATCTGACTTGCTTTTGCCTTTTGTCTTTAGTGACTAATGCTGTTTTGAAAATAGGTGTATAAATGTCTCTTCAGTATCCTGCTTTTTGATTCTTTTGGATATATACCCAGAAATGGTATTGCTGTATCACATGGTGGTTCTGTTTTTAGTTTCTTAAGGAACTATGCTGTTTTCTACAGTAGTCGCACCATTTTACATTCTGATCAGCAGTGCACAAGGGTTCAGATTTTTCCATGTCTTTGTCGGCACTTTTTGTTTTCTGTTTCTTTGGTAATAACCAATACTATTGGGTATGAGGTAAATTCATTGTGGTTTTTATTTATGTACCCTAGTGGTGTTTTTGAGCATTTTTTCATGTGCTTATTGGACATTTGTATATCCCTTTTAGAGAAGTGTGGATTCAAGTCCTTTGCTGATTTTTTAATGAAGTTTTTTGTTGTTTTAGAGTTGTAGGAGTTTATATATTCTGGATGTGAAAATGTTAGTTGCTCAATCAAGTCTGACTCTTTACAACCCAGTGGACTGTAGCCCACCAGGCTCCTCTGTCCATGGAATTTCCCAGGCAGGAGTGATAGAGTGGTAGTCATTCCCTTCTCTGGGCAATCTTCTTGATCTAGAAATCAAACCCAGGTCTCCTGAATTTCAGGCAGAGTCTTTACTGTCTGAGCCACCAGGGAAGCCTCCATATTCTGGATATTGACCCCTTACAGATATATGATTTACATATGTTTTCTCATTTTTAAGATTTCTTTTTGCTCTGTTGGTCATGACCTTTGATGGACAGAAATTTTAAATTTTGTTGTAGTCCAGTTTGTCTGTTTTGGCTTTTGATTTCATATCTAGGAAATTCTTACCAACTCCATTGTCATGGAGCTTTTTGCTTAGATTTTCCTCTTGGACTTTTATAACTTTTAAGACTTACGTTTAGATCTTTAATATATTTTGAGTTAATTTTTGTATGATGGAGGGGTCTAGCTTCATTCTTTTGCATGTGTATAACCAGTGTGATATGTCAGTCAGAAATCTGGTGCTTTGCTTTCTGAGAGATTTCCTGGTTCTTCTCTCCTTGTAACCTGTACCTTTTTCTTCATTTGCTTGTATTATTTCTGTGCTATTTATCTTTTATTTTCCTCTTAGCAGTTCCTTTGCAATCTCTAGACCTGTCCTAAAAGACCCTGGATACTCGTTTTTAAGAGTTTAGAGTGACTAGAGTGCATTTAGTTTCTATACTCAATTGGTATTATATTGAGCAAGTTTTTTGCAGTTTCTAGTGTCCTGAGGCTTATGATGCTTTTCAGTGACTTAACTCTTGACCATTTTGTGGTTTTCCTTTTTTCTGGTCCATTAGATGTCCCACTGCTTCTCTCTCCTTTCTCCTACAGTGTTGATACAAGGCACGTCTTTGTGATTATAGTTGGTCTGTCTTTATCTGCTTATGTTTTGGGGGTTGTGGAGATAACCTGTTACCTGGTTTTGTTGTAAATGTTGTTTGTGAGCTTTTGGTTTTGATGTTCGATTGTTGTTTTACATTCAGATTTTGAGAGTTTTAAAAACTATGCTGCCATTATGCTGTGCTGGCATTGTGACTGCCACAATGCCTATTGAAAATTCTTAAAGCAAGAATTTTGTTAGAGGTACAGATGGTGCATCGACAGAAATTATAAAGATCTTGTTCCTTAAAATTAAAAATTAGGTCAAAGAGAAATTTCTAATATTATTATGTGATAGAAATCAGGAATAAAAAATGCTTACTACCTTTTATTAATTGATTGTATTCCAGGGAAGTTGTTTTAGAAACAAATTTTAAAAGAAGGAAGAAACTCCAGTTATTTGCACAAGGATGTTGGTTGATTTTTAACAATTGGGGTAATTTGCTATATAATTTATATTTTATAATAACTAAATATAGCACATTTTGATGAATACATAAAATTGCACAATCATTATTATAGTCATGAGTTTTATCACCCTCCGAAGTTATCTGATTTACCCTTTTCAGCTAATCCTTTTTTCTTCCTTCCTGGCCCCTCTGCACCACTGATCTGTTTTTGTCAGTATACTTGTACTTTTTCAGAATTTCATATCATGGGGATTATATAGCATATAATCTTTTGTGTCCAGCTCTTTTCCCTTAAGTGATTATTCATCTTTCTGTAGTGTTGTATTTACTGAATGATTATCATGTCAAACCCTGAATGCTGCATCATGACCTTTGAGAGCAAGTAGCCTAGAAATGAAGGGGTTCAGAAGTAGCTGTATGCTTCTGTAGATATATTCCTGCCCTCAGCCCTCACAGTCTGGTTGGGCAAATGTGCTTATACGTGTAGTTCTAACAAATGTGATCTCACCCAGTCCTTGAGAAATACAGAAGGGAATAATTTTATTCATAAAATCTCTGTAATAGAAATATGAGAAACTTTAAATCTCCAGAGAGAATCTTACATGGAATCCTGACGTATAAAACATAGAAATTATATTTAATTACTTTCAACATCAAGTGTTAACCTTTTTCTATTTTACTCCTTTTTAATCTTAAATATTATCTCCTTTGTTTTTTTGTCTCTTTGCTCAACTTCCTAGTGAAGTTGAGACTTTTCATTTTTTTGCTATATTTCTTTGGGGTTTTTATTTTTCTTGGAGGCTCATTTTTTAAGAGTTCTGTATGTGTTGAAACTCCTAACTCTTTTCAGAGTAGTTGATATTTTCCTTTGTATGCTTTTATGCTTCTATCTTTATGTAGAAAAAAAAGTTTGTAGACTCTTGGTCTTTTTATCAGCTCTCTTACTGCTTTTAAACTTAAAACTACTTCTCAATCCAAATATCAGATACTGTCCTATATTTTGTTTGTTTCATTGTAGCTTACATTTTTACATTTAAATTGACTGGAGTTTCTGTGTATATAACATCTTTTTCTTTTTTTTTTTTTTTGAGGATGGAAATGGAGTTGTTCGTGGTTACTACTTATCTGTGTTTCTGGAACTTTCAGCTGGCTTGCCAGAAACTTCCAAGTAAGACATGCACTTAAGTAACAAACTTTAGTGTGGGTTTACATACCTTCTTAGCATTTTTCATTAACTACTTTTGTTAAATACTATATTTTATGTCTGTTATGATATTATACCAGTATGGAATCTCTGGCATAGTATGTTGGCATAGACTGTCAGTTCTCAAATTATATGGCATCAGGACTCTATACTCTTAAATTTTATTGGGAAATCCAAAGAATTTTTCTTTATATGGTTTTATCTGTTGGTATTTTCTGAATTAGAAATTAAAACAAAAACTTTGAAATTTTTGTTAATTTACTTTAATAATAAGCCTGTTACATATTAGCATATGTAACATTTTTTTGAAGAATAACTTTTTCTAAAGCAAAATAATACTTGGTGAGAAAACTTATTGTAAAACACTTCGTAATGTATGGCTTTTCAATTTACTGTAATAAGTTGTTTGGGTTGAAGTATATGTATATATACAAAATCTGGCCTAATGGATTTTGAATTTCATATGTAGTTGGAAAAAGCTTTTTACAGTGATCTACAGTTCACATCCCACATGAAAGTGAAAGTGTTCGTTGTGCACTCGGGTCCAACCCTTCACGACCCATGCACTGTAGCCCTGTAGGCTCCTCTGTCCAGGCAAGATTGGAGTGGGTAGCCATGCCCTTCTCCAGGGGATCTTCCTGCCATCTGAACCACCAGGGAACCTTACCATAAAATTCATCTTATAAATAAGTGTAGAATTCAGTAGATTTTAGTATATTCATTGAGTTCTACAGCTATCACTGTATCTAATTTCAGACCTTTTTTTTTTTTCTTTTTTAAATTTTTTGGCCATGCCTCATGGCATGTGGAATCTTAGTTCCGCAACAAGGGAGCAAACCTGTGCTCCCACACTGGAAGCACAAAATCTTAACCACTGCTGCCAGGGCATTCTACAGAACATTTTCATCACCCCACAGAGCAACACTGTACTTATTAGCAATCACTTCCCACTCCCACCCAGTTCCTGGCAGTCCTAATCTACTTTTTTTTAGGGAGTAACACTTTAAAAAGCAATTTTAGATAATTGTGAATCATTTTTGATATTACCCCAAAATTGAACAAGTGCTTGTTTGTTAAATGTAATTTGTAGCATGAAATCTGGAACCATATCAGTGAATTTTATTTCAACACCATAATCTGTTGGTTTGATTTGAGATACATGTTTCCAGTTATGGCATAATAGGGATAATCCTTTTTTCTCTAACAACCAAAAAGGAAAACATTTCCTAGACGCCAGACCTGACGCAACAAATGAAAGCAGTGCTTGAGAGACAGGAAATAAATCAGATCTGTGATTGCCTCACTTAACCTTGAGAGAGTTTTCAGGCCATAACACATGGAGGCAGAAATGCAACAGTCTGGCTAACTCCTTGAGTTGAGGAGACAGTGCTGAGTGTCCAGGAAGACCAGCACACCTAGAGTGCAGTGGACAGAACACCAGAAGAGAGATCTGTACAAAGAATTCCAGAGGCTTGGAAGGCATTCTCTTCAAATATGAAAAGGGCATGGCAACCCACTCCAGTGTTCTTGCCTGGAGAATCCCATGGACAGAGGAGCTGGGCGGGCTACAGTCCATGGGGTTGCAAAGGGTCAGACACAACTCAGTGACTGACACACATTCTTCAAATATTCTGCAGAGTATTGAGTAGGGCATGCATGTAAAGAAACCTAACAGGTTGGGGGAAGGACCATCTGGGAACGTTTAGAGGGAGTGGTGCCTGGTGCCTGGTGCCTGGTAAAGGGCCAGTAATTGTGTTGTTCTCATCACTGTAGTGGTAACTTCTAATCCATGGGGCATTGAATGAACTACACAGGAAATTTTTGCCTCCCTGGTGGAGAACAGTCCTAGAATGGACATTACTCCAGACCCATCTAACAAATAAAAGCAAGACCGAAAGAATTGAATTGTTTCCAGGTAACCGAACAGTAGTCTAGAGCAGAGCTCAAGAAAACTCATAAGATTACAAAAATAGACAGCAGAAATTCCTTGCATTCCTATATTCTAACAATGAGAAAACAGAGAAATTAAGGAAACAATTCCATTCACCATTGCAACGAAAAGAATAAAATACTTAGGAATATATCTACGTAAAGAAACAGAAGTCCTATATATAGAAAACTATAAAACACTGCTGAAAGAAATCAAAGAGGACGCAAATAAATGGAGAAATATACAGTGTTCATGGATTGGAAGAATCAATATAGTGAAAATGAGTATACTACCCAAAGCAATCTATAGATTCAGTGCAATCCCTGTCAAGCTACCAATGGTATTTTTCAGAGAACTAGAACAAATAATTTCACAATTTGTATGGAAATACAAAAAAATCTCAAATAGCCAAAGCAATCTTGAGAAAGAAGAATGGAACTGGAGGAATCAACCTACCTGACTTCAGTCTCTACTACAAAGCCACAGTCATCAAAAGACAGTATGGTACTGGCACAGAGACAGAAATATAGATCAATGGAACAAAATAGAAAGCCCAGAGATAAATCCATGTACTTATGGACACCTTATCTTCGACAAAGGAGGCAAGAATATACAATGGAGAAAAGACAATCTCTAACAAGTGGTGCTGGGAAAACTGGTCAACCACTTGTAAAAGAATGAAACTAGAACACTTTCTAACACCATACACAAAAATAAACTCAAAATAGATTAAAGATCTAAATGTAAGACCAGAAACTATAAAACTCCTGGAGGAAAGCATAGGCAAAACACTCTCTGACATAAACCACAGCAGGATCCTCTTTGACTCACCTCCCAGAATATTGGACATAAAAGCAAAAATAAATGGGACCTAATTAAAATTATAAGCTGCACAACACAGGAAACTATAAGCAAGGTGAAAGACAGCCTTCAGAATGGGAGAAAATAATAGCAAATGAATAACAGACAAAGAATTAATTTCAAAAGTATACAAGCAACTCCTGCAGCTCAATTCCAGAAAAATAAACGACCTAATCAAAAAGTGGGCCAAAGAACTAAATAGACATTTCTCCAAAGAAGACATACAGATGGCTAACAAACACATGAAAAGATGCTCAACATCACTCATTATCAGAGAAATACAAATCAAAACCACAATGAGGTACCATTTCACGCCAGTCAGAATGCTATCCAAAAGTCTACAAGCAATAAATGCTAGAGAGGGTGTGGAGAAAAGGGAACCCTCTTACACTGTTGGTGGGAATGCAAACTAGTACAGCCACTATGGAGAACAGTGTGGAGATTCCTTAAAAAACTGGAAATAGAACTGCCATATGACCTGGCAATCCCACTGTTGGGCATACACACTGAGGAAACCAGAATTGAAACAGTCACGTGTACCCCAATGTTCATTGCAGTACTGTTTATAGTAGCCAGGACATGGAAGCAACCTAGATGTCCATCAGCAGATGAATGGATAAGGAAGCTGTGGTACATATACACAATGGAATATTACTCAGTCATTAAAAGGAATATATTTGAATTAGTTCTAATGAGGTGGATGAAACTGGAGCCTATTATACAGAGTGAGGTAAGCCAGAAAGAAAAACACCAATACAGTATACTAACGCATATATATGGAATTTAGAAAGATGGTAACGATAACCCTATATGCGAAACAGCAAAAGAGACACAGATGTGTAGAACAGTCTTTTGGACCATGTGGGAGAGGGCAAGGGAGGGATGATATGGGAGAATGGCTTTGAAACGTATATTATCACGTGTGAAATAAATGGCCAGTCCAGGTTCGATGCATAATACAGGGTGCTCAGGGCTTGTGCCCTGGGATGACCCAGAGGGGTGGGATGGGGAGGGAGGTGGGAGGGGGGTTCAGGATGGGGAACACATGTACACCCATTGCAGATTCATGTCAATGTATGGCAAAACCAATACAATATTGTAAAGTAAAATAAATAAATAAAACAGAAAAAATAAAAAGATTACAAAAATATCCAGCACCCAACAAAGCTAAGGTTACATTATCTGTTATTCATTCCAAGATTAATTGGCATACAAAGAGGCAGGAAGACATAACCAACACTGAGGGGAGTAAGCAGTTGATTTGAGCAAGAACTGTTTTTTTTTTTCAATGTGAGTTCTATCTATGGATATTTTATGAATTAGAAATGAAAACATTTTAAAAATTAATTTACTTACTATAAACTAATTGCATATTAACATAAATTACATTTCTATGAATAGTAACTTTTTCTAAAACAAAATAATATTTGATGAGAAAACTTGTTTTACATTTTTAGACATCTTTGTATGGCTTAAAAAGACAACTAGTTTCTCATGTGAGAATTAGGAGAAAATATTTTTCTCAGTTTTTATAACTACATTCCATCTGTTCATAAGTTGAACAGAGATAAGGAAGATACCAAAAATTCATACTGAACTTCTTGAGAATGAACTAACTATATTTGAAATGAAGAATACACTGGATGGCATGAATGACAGATTAGATACTGCAGAAGAAAGGATTAACTAATGAATTAATGGACTTGAAGGCATTAGCTATAGAAACTATTCAAAATGTGAACATAGAGAATAGAAGTCCAAAACTATGAAACAACTTGAAGTAGCTTAATGTACAACTATCTGGAGTCCTTGAAGAAGGGGATGGGAAGGAAAAAGTAAATACTTTCCAAACTTGATAAAAGCTTTAAGCCCACGGATCCAGAAGTTTAGTGAACTATAAGCACATGAAACATGAAGGAAACATCAAAGTACATCATAATCAAATTGCTTAAAACCAATGGTAAACAAAATATCTTAAACTGGCAGTGAAAAAAAAAGTAATTTAGAGGCACAAAGGAAAGGGTGAAATCAGGTTTCTCACTGGAAACAATACAAGTGAAATGATAATATAGCAACATTTTAGAAAGATTGAAAGAAGCAAACATAAAATTTTATAACCAGCAAGAATATATTTTAAAAAATACAGTGAAACTAAGACATTTTCAGATCTGAA